GATACATCATCCCAGCTGAAAGACCGAAATACTCCATAAAAATTTCTCACCTCTCAGGAATCGAACCCAGGTCTTATGTATTCGACAGCGAAGCACCCAAACTGTACATCATAGAGGCCGGTATCATTATTCTCATAACGAACACATTTATTGGTATTTTGAGAACAGAACACGACGCCCTTTTTTGGGACCATGCCCGTTCCATACATAGACGTTAACTGGTTAAAATAATAAGTAACCTGTTGCTTTGTTGCACGTACTTTCTTCAGAACATTAGGACGGTACTAAACGTTTTGCGAAGATTACGAAAAGAAGAACATGTAGTTTGGACCTACTTACTTTTCATACTTATTCTATCACTATATCGCCAAGTACATAAGGTGAACGTTTGCCACAGTATACGAAAGAAGTGCACAAAATTAGGTCTAAATGGAAAAAAAGGTACATAGTTGTTTGAAAAGAAACTATGACAACCGCTGGATACCCTACTCTGCATCTCCAGTTGCTTGACATACAGGTGATCTATGGAGGACAAATCCAGCCGTCCACAACGCTTTAATGACATCAAATGCCCTAAAACCTCCGCCCTTCACTTCACAAAACGCTCTTAGCTGGCCCTTTGTGCTTGTAAAAATGTTGCGGGACGCGTCTATTTAGCCGATGCTCCCGGAAAATCCTGGCTCAACTTTTATTGCTTCTCATCTGACAGCGGACACAATCTGAAGGATTATCTCCCTTCGGTAGGTACAATGCAGTGCTCAGAGTGGCAGCGGGACCCTCGCGCTTCTGTTACCTTCACTACTCTCGTGTCGCTATTAATTCGTGTCATTAGAGAAGGCGGAGCTTTGGTCGTACTTAACTTTTTTTTTTACGCTGACCAAAAACATTGGTTGTTGAGAATTAAGAAAAAGTGTATCACCGCTAAAGGTTTTTGAAACTGATATCTTTTTTAGCTCCGACTTTCAGAAGTGTTTTCGAATTCTTGAGAATTAACTATTGAAGTTAAGTAAACTATTAAAATTGAAGTATTCTGAAATGTCAGAACCGAGGGACAATAGTAGCATGTCGTATAGCTTAACAACACAGGGGAAACCAAACGCCGTTGAAAGCGGCAGGACTGCTTAGCTCAGCATTTGATTGGCAAACTGGTGAACAAAAGAGAAGCTTGAGACAGATTTACGATTGGCTATGCAGCGGATAAATAGTGGCTTCGTAAGAGAGTAATAGACAACAACAGGGTATTGTTTCAGTCTGAGAAAGAGGGAACCGAATTTGAAACTTGCATTGAAGGCTCCCAGCCCCTGAATTTAAGTAAAAGAAAGAATATCTCGGTAAAAGTACATAATAGATATTTGACCCCTCCATTCGGAATTTAATCACCTGTAGGTCGCTTGGATGTCATCCACGTTAGAAACATTTAGCTTATTTGTGAAGCATCTCAGTGAAATTAGGCGCTCATCAAAATAATGAAATCGAAGAAACAGGAATCCCCCCCCCCTCCACCCCACCCCCCCTCCTTCCCGTATTTTTATCGAATTTATTTTTTGGCTGAACACCTTTAAGTCTATATAAAAACATATATCCAAACATATTTTGCTGAAAGAAAAACCCGTTGATTAAAGGCACAGAATATGTAATTTTTCAGTTTCAAAGGAGTCTCAAGGTATCGAAGTTACCAAACTTTGGCGCCCATTTTCTCGCTACTTTCATCACAGAAACCAGGCGACTCTTCCTCCTTCAATCAAAAATATCTCGACTTCTATTCAAGATAGGTGGGAAGTTTTTTTTATTGAAAGAAAAGCTAGCTTTCGGGTGATACCAATAATTCCACATGCTCAAAAATTGATGAGCGCCTGATTCCACCGCATCGTGACACATTTCAAGAATGGGATGCTAAGGTGAACGTTTACCCATATCTCCTGTCTCGTGTTTTGTTTCAACAACAAAAATGGAAGAATGAATCATATTATAGTGTGAAGTTTTATTTGATTTATTGTACAATCTTCACATAAATCATACAGGATTTTTGGGGTCTACAAAATGGACAGTTTTTGTATTTAAAAAATGATATTCTACATCAACTTTGTACAGTTTTAAATGTATACATGCACAATTATACTATCTACATAAACTCGGGATAAATCTATTACTAATACTATACAAGCATGTGCACACGCACGCACACACACACACACACACACACACACACACACACACACACACACACACACATACACACACACAAACGCACACACTCGCACATAATTATGGGCTCAAAATTCGGTCACAATAATATTCTGCGTTATGACAGTCGAAGAAAAACTGTATCTTAAACCAAATTATTTGAACTGTCCAAATGTTATGCACAGTTTAAATTGACTAATTTGGTTCACAGAGGCGCATAGTTACGTTTGTGTGTTTGGAGGTCTGTAGAGGTTTGTGTGCGCGCGCGTGTGTGTGTGTGTGCGTGCGTGTGTGTGTATGTGTGTGTGTGTCTCTGTGTGTGTGTGTGTGTGTGTGTGTGTGTGTGTGTGTAGGGGGGTGATAAAAGAAAAGGAATAAT